AAAACTAATGCCTATCTAGTGACTCTAAGTAAGATACTCGTACCTTATAGGTACGAGTATACATGTAAAATAAATTAATCATAATAATGTAACAAAAATATTCGTAAACAAATAACCATTTTCAATATAACTAGATATATAGATCATATATTTCGCAAGTATATATATATATACTTGCGAAATATATGATCTTTATGTTGGTAGTTCAATATAACTGTGAAACGTTTTCGTTCATTTTTATAGTACTATTTTGTCATCAATAATATATTTTTTGTTCATAATTTTTAAAGAAAATTGTAAAAAAAAAATATCAGAATGTCTTCGTATCTCAACGACCCATCGAGCGCCGCTGAAAGGCAAATATGGCGCTAGGATAAGTAGGATATGATTGAATGTGATGGATCACGTCGATAGGGGAGAAAGTCTCGGTGCCAGTATGACTTTTGACATATACTCTGTCCCAGCCAGCTATCTACTTTCCTATTTAAAAAGCAACTCAGAAAAATTTCGAATGAACTCCAAAATTCGAAAATATTGGATATCAATACATACATATAATACATATTTTATTAAACAAATTTTCATTCATTTGCATGCTATAAATTTGGCTCATGTTTGACTGGATTTAGCTTTTCCAAATATTATACTTATTTCTATACATCTCAACTAAAACTTACAAGATACACGATTTATTTATTTGTTTATAATGTTATTTACTTTCTCACTTTCCTGGAGACTTTTTTATGTACATATATAGTTGCTTTTATTCTAATAACTAGAGCTTGTAAATCTTACATTACTGTAGGTAATAAATTATATTATTTTGTGCTATACAAAAATTAAAAAAATATAATTTTGACTTCTATCGCTCTTATTAAGTCACACTTCTATTATATGTAGTTGCATATATACATAGCTGTTACTATTTACATCTGTAAATTTACATAGTCTCGAATACTCTCATGATTGTTATTATTACTGGTAATAGAAATAATGATTTGCTATTGATATTTATTAATAATAATATGACAGAAATAAAACAAAATCTTTTAGTGAGCTCTATGAAAAAGAAAAGAGGTCAAGGTGTAATTGGACTGAAGAAAAAATAACGACTTTCTATATAAACAGGCTCGGATAATGATGCCTCTGTGGTGCTATGATAAGAAATAGAAAGGATAGAATAAATAGATAGAAAGGATAGATGGAAGGCTGACCCTTCACAAACCATACAATTTGACATTTATAACATAACATTTTAAAGTACATATTTGTTTTTGAAAACAATACAACAACAGAAAAAATTTTAAATGTTTTAAGTAAAAACCTAAAGTATGATTTATTATTACTCAATTTGCATTTTTTTTATATTTTAATTCTCAGCAAATGTGTTTTTATAGAAATCAGTTATTTTCGTGCTCTATAAACCTTCATAGAATCGTGTTAGCGTATCATTACATTGTACATATACTATGTATCATTATCCTGTAACCACTATAGAACATAAGCCTCCCCTTGGTGAGTTTCGCCAGTTGCCAAGCTTGACAGGTGGATTGGCAACAGCAGTTAGGCTTTGGAGATGTTTAAGAGGGACGTTCTTACCCATCTTTCGCCTTCCTGTAGTCGCATTTATGACAGCAACTATATACTATGTATACACAAATATTTATGAAATCATTTTCATTAAATTAAACTATTCGTAATTAATTACTGTGCAGTCCCAGCATAGAATGGATCACCCCTTCCTTTCTGGATAAGGTAAGAGGCAACTAAGGGACTTAAATGTCGAGGGATGGACAGCAACGTCCCTCTTAAAACTACACCAAACCCTTAACTACGGTTTCCAACCCACCTACCAAGCGTGGCAACTACTGACAAATCCCCCCTTATAGAGGAGGCCTATGTTCAGCACTGGACAGTTAACGGCTAATATGATGATAATGATTTATAGTTAAAATTTAGATATAAGTTTTGGATTTACTATAATACCTATTTATATATTGCGTTTGTAATTAATTATATTATTATTGTAAAATAATTTAATAATGACATTGCAGACAAATATATGTGATATATTTAATTAAATTTAAAATATCTATATAATAAATAAAAATCAGCTAAATCTTTTACATCAATAAAGGGAAGGATTATTTTAATTGTTTACTACGTACCTACATAGATGTAACAAAATATAATTGCTTATTACATAATTGAAGAGATCTGCGAATAAGCCGATTAAATAAGAAATATTTTTTTATATTACTTTTATATGTATTTCTTTTTGTCTAAGCGTATCTAAAATTCCATGAGACAATATCCAAATTAATTTATATTCTTCTAGTCCATATAAATTATAATATGAAGGAATATAATATTTATTGCGTTTCATATATAGATATAGTTAAAATTCTATAAATGTTAACATAATCAATGAAGAACAGGGATTTTATCACAAAATGCAATATCAGATTGAGTCATCAGAGAGACTTTGTACAAAAGTCGATTGCTTGGGTACCTTTGTCCCATTTGTGTTTTAACCGTGAAGCAGTTGTATTTACATGGCTGTGTTTCAGTTTTAAGGGTAGGATATGGCGTGAATTTACAGGATACAGAGGAATAACACCTGAGTCCTTAGGAATGGCAACGCATGGGGGGTATCATGGGCGAAACAGTATACTCTGTTACGTCCATGGTACTGCTCATGTCTATAGGCGACGGTTACCACTTTCCATCAGGTGGGCCGTCAGCTTGTTTGCCATTCTAAGTTGTATAAAAAAAAGATATTTATTATGGAATTTAATAAAAATCGTTTATAATAAAAAGTTTACGTTACCTACGCTAAGGTGAAATAACAATATATATGTCGTCTATATATTACATTATGCATGTGAAAACAGAGTAAAAATAAATAAAGGGGACTCGAGAACAACATAACAGGTAGAAGAAAAACTCAAAATAATATACAGTCCACCTCGCTAGCGTGGTAATAGTGGGCTATTCTTCAACGTTTTTATAAAGAGAAATAGACCAGTCTCTAGCAGTTAGTTTTTGTTAAATTTATCTTGATATATTATATAAAAATGCTGTGTTTGCATTGAACTTCGAAAGTCTACAACTCAAGAGATAGAATAATTTTTATCCCAGTAAGAAAAAAAATTTACGCAGTACGTGGTGGTGAGATGGAAAACAATGTTTACCGAGTTAGCTAGTAATTTTATAAAATGAATCTTATTATTACCTGTATTATAGTAAGAAATTTTGTAAATATGTTTTGGTGTTTATTATTAAATCGTATTTAAATAGTTGGACGCACTTATGTAAACTATGATACGTAGATAAGAAATGTCTTAAGACAAAGAATAGATACGTCTTATTTCACCCTGACAAAACCGCAAGATATAAAATATTTATTTATTTATTTATTTATTTAATTCTTTATTGCACCATAAATAAAAATATACAATGACAAGTGAATAATTCAAATGAAATACAGTAACATAAATACAGATTTAAATATATATTTAGATAAACACATAGTATTTCAACTTCGGATGTATGTAAAATGTATAATTTAAAAATTTAACTACAGACCTTGATTGTGTGACTTTAAACTAACTAGATAAAAATAAACACAAAGGAAATATTCGACTTTAATAGGTCACTGGCATGCATATTTTAAAGGTGTTTATTACTCAATCATGCTTAATAAGCTCAATAGTTTTAATAAAATTTCGTAAATCCGTTATCCTGATTAATAAACAAAAATTTAGCATACATAGATAGAATCTGGAATAAAATATAGGATAATTTTTAACTGCCATCCGCAAGGCCACAGATTCTACAGCTGCTAGTAAATAATCTTTACTACTATTACTATAATACATATTAAATATAATATGGTCACGTGAAAGAAGTCGCGGGTAAAAGCTAGTTATTTTTATAAATTTATAGAGACAGTTTTTTATTCATTATTAAGAGATTTCAAAGAAAAAAAGTTTCTTATTTGGACAAGTTTTTTGTATATTACACTATATCTTCGCTTATTCCAAAGCGATTTTGAATTTTTGCTATTTAAAGAACTTAGTTTTGTATTGGCTTCTTATTAATGTTGTCATTATTTATGCCGCTGTTTTATGTGTAATAAAATGGAACATTATCATAACAAGTAGTACCAACAAAGTCAATTTTATTATTAACAATTGTTTTTATTTATATTAAGATATTTGGATTCTGTGATGAACCTGCTAGAATTATAAAGTCGTTTGATTATTTTCATATAGTACCCTAAAAGAATTGTAATACTTGTTTAAAATATATACTTGACTATGTTCCACTGACAGGTTATATTAGTCAATAATGATGCAAGTAGATAGACAGGCATTTGAATATATTCATAAATACAGCGCGAGAATAAGATTAGAATAATCTTTGGGATAAAGGAGCGTGCTAGGAAAGGTGCGACGGTATATCCGGAATAAAATGGAAAACATAAATGGCAAAACCCTGTTCTACATTTTAATCCTATCTCAAATTCTTGGTAGATACTTCGTAGTAGCATATTTTTTTTATTATTATTAGTTTTGTTTATACATTTATTTCTTAAAATAATCACAAGAGACATTGTATATATTGCAAGTTCATTCATCATTCAAATATTCGTCATATTTTTTTATCTATTGTTAGGTACTAATAGATAAATATCCTATTATCTTGGATGATACAATTATGAATGAAAATCAAAAAATTATAGTAGTTATCATAAATGTTACCCTAATATTATCTTCAAGAGATATATAGGTGCCTAATAACAGTATATTTTCAAATAGAATATTTTTTTAAATATTATTATTGATGTTTAATATCAAAAAACATTATAATAATCAATTAAGCAATGTATTCATAATAATATATCAATAAATTAAGAAATTATTAAATTAGGAATAATAGTAATTGATCATAAACATGCATTCTAATATTCTATTAATAAATATTGGAGTACGTACATTTATGTAAGAATAAAGCTGATATCATAAACTTTTAATGCTCGTAAAAGTTACCAATTCTTCTGACTCATTGAAAAAGAGCGACAAACAAAATCACTTCCACGTCCGCGACTTTCTGAAAAACAATTTCATTAAAACTCCAGGGGCGTCTAGCTAATTAGGTCCGAACTTATTTGTTTGGCTGAGTTTTTGACAGGCGAGTGACGTAAATTTTAATCAGCAAATCGTCGAGCCTCGATCGGCCGTTAACGCGTTGCGCACAGTCGCCCGTTCCCATGGCACTGGCGCGCGGATCGTGGGGCAGGGAGCTCGGCGACGACGGCGAACGATGCTCGTATCCCAAGCGCCTCTCCGCCTCGCCTGCCCGGACGGTGCGCGCCCGCCCAGAGCATTGCAAACTCCGATTTCCGTAGCGGCTAAGCCGAAGCTTTCCTAGATTGTGTGGCCTTAGTGAACATTAATTACACCCAACTTAGTCTGATTAAACCTTGAGGAATTATCCGGATTGACAAAATTAACTTTTAACTCAGATTTATGTCGTCTCCAACGACGATAGGTCGAATAAGGAAATCCCAACAGCTACGTATTATTGTTTGACCCTAAACATTAATGAAGTTCCAATAACTGTATAAAAATGCTAAAATATATATTGGCTTATTTGATTCGAGTATATAAGTTCTTTATATACTAAAATAAGTAAAAGAGATTCTTGCTGAAAAAGGTGCTTATATATTATTGCTATATCTAAAAAATAAAGAGTGCAAATAAAGGCAATGATGTATCTATTCCAAACAAGAAACAAAACGCTCTAGGAACATAGAAAGTATTAATTTATTATTCTATATAGGCATTTTGTTCTCCGATAGTCACCAAGCGTACCTATTTTGATGTAATAATATATATAATGAACAGTCAGAAAATGCCTACTTATTTAAATTAATATACAGCCGAATTCATTTTTTATGTACCTAATAAATAAATCTCTTTAATTTTCATTTACGCTTATTATAATATTTTATGATGTTATAAAGAATTATTACATTACTTTTAGCTTATAAAATATGTTTACTCATATAATTAAATAAAAGAAAAACAAAACAGGAAAATAATTAATTTTAATTCATTTATACTTTCCATGAACAATAATAGCCAAGCTCTCGTCCTATCTCTTATAATCTATATACTCGTAACTCACTTTCTGAGGGTATGGTAAAAAGTTTATTATAACAGTAAATACCTGCTATTGTTATTAATATAAATAACTTCTATGGTTTTTTAAAGCACAATATTTATGTATGTATACACGTGGCTTGCTGTGTATAATATTTTAATAACAGTGGTTAATACATAAACGTTTACAAATATATAAACATTGTCAAAATTTATACACTATATATAATTTACCAGACATATCTTCCGTAATAAATTAGAACCGAGATGTCGCAGTCTGTTACACTAAAATTTTTCACATTCACATTCTACACTAGAACACAATTGAGTTTTAATCGAATTCGAAAGTTTCCTTTTTGTCAAATACTCGTTTCACATTTTGTTTTCTATCATTAAAGTTTTTCAATTATACACTGATATGAATGATTCAAATATATACTGTACATAGATTTAAGATTAGTAGGTAGGCATAAAAAATAGGATAAGACAGCACTATTATATAATAGTGCTGTCTTATGCTATTTTTTATTTTAGAATTTCATGTACTTGCTTATAAATTTGATACTATAACAAAAGTCATGACTGATATTTCCAAAGATACCTTTTATATAGTTATTACAACTTTATATATAATAGAGCAATTTAATAAAGCACTTTTCGAAAACGTGTTTAACTACCTTATTCATATAAACCAAAACGTTCTATTTACTTATTTTAACTTTTAGTGTTTTGTTACTGTCTATTACAATAAATTGATAATTTAATACAAAAGATAAGGATAAAATAGTACAATAACTAAAGTAAGTTTATGAGAAGTTTGACGTTTTTATAAATAAGGTAACTTATTTATAAAAACTTAATTACTTTTAAAATTAGTTTATTAACTAATAGTAAACATATTAGCTAGTAGCGACGGCTACTATTTTCTATGAGTTGGATTGTCAACTTATCTGACATTATACCATATTTTTTTAAAGTTTATATAGTTCTTTCGAAACCATAAAATGCTTAATAAAATTTACTGAATAATTTCATTAAATTAATTAAAAATTAGACAAAATATATATCTAATAATATATAAATTATTTTGATATATAGATGGTTTTTACTATACAATACTTTCAAAGTACTGACTAAATTCATTACAAGTAGATTTCATCATAATAAATATTTTAAAAAGGAAATGTATCAATTTTTGTTTGTTATAAAAAACAAAAAATTGAAACTTTCCTGATTATAAACTCAAAAATATTAAACATATTTTAAAAACTTTTCACCTGTAAAAATCAAAATTATCAGTGAGTAAAATGCATTATATTATATTTTCAAAAAAATCTACTTATTAAACATACGAAACCGGAGCGGGTCGCTAGTGTATACACCGATAGCTATTATACGACCATCAGTTTGATAAAAGTATACCTAATATGCTATATAACCAAATAGCAATATACTCGTAGCTGCACGTGAAGCAATGAACCAGATACGCAATACAGATAACACCTCAACGTCTGTATAAAATTGTCATAAAAATAATATAATAGTTCCATGAACTACACAATTGTTCTGTATGCCTTTTTAACATTCAATAGTCTTCCTTACAATATATATTCATTGTTCTTGAAAAGAGATTACTATAAATTCAGTGTATATACATTATGCAACCGTCATAACTTAAATTATGAAATACTCAAATAAGAGAAATAGGAAAAACATAAAAATGAAATTATGTTTGTATTAACATTTGCACTTTATTATATATTATTATTATTATTTCTAAAGATTTTAAAAATAACCAATCAACACTGTAGCTCTGGTATTATATATATATATATATATATATATATATATATATATATATATATATATATATATATATATATATATATATATATATATATATATATATATATATATATATATATATATATATATATATATATATATATATATATATATATATATATAATTTTAAGATGAGAACAGCAGGTATATTTAAAAAATATATTACACCATACAGTTTTATTGTAGATAACTTCTTAAAAAAATTGTAACATTTTTTACCTAACTTAACTATTATGATAGTACATTACAATTTCATTAATAACTTGCTTTTACCAAACCTATAGGCATCTAAATTATTGGTAACATTATTATTTAAATCATATATAGATTTCTGGATATATATTGAAGATTATCTAATTTACTTATAATAAGTCGACCTGCTTTTTCCCCTGAATTGAAAAATAAATCTGTTTTTCTTCCTTTTAAATCTACTTAATAATTCTCTTTTAACTATATATAAATATTATATATAAATGGCATACAATGTAGAATAGACAGCTATATCTTTAACACAAGATAACGATATCCACCACACCTGTTTAAGCTTTTTACGCTACTCATAAGTTGCCCATTTCGACTTCATTGATTCTAAGAGATACATAAATCCTTCAAACGGACATATCTAGAAATATATACATTGCTAAAAGGATATTCGACGTTTTTGTAGAGAGACGACTCAATTTTCAGAAGTGTACGTAGCTACCTAATCTCTTTTATATAAGTCGTTTATTGTTGGACAAACTAGTTAAGCGATTTATAAATATTATTTTCAATTTTTAAACTATTTCTTAAGCAAAATTCCATCTCATTCCCCATAAAATTAACAAAAATATATTGAAATTTTATTGCGTTTTCCTTGAAACTATATAAATTGCAAATGCAATTATGTAATTAGGGTATGTCGTTATAAATTTTGGATAGAATTACGTATTGGAAACAAAACAATGAGAATCGCAATAATTTACTACGGAAGAACATACTTAAAACAAATTATCCTAACTTTTGACAGGCAATTAATTGTTATTAATATAATTAACTAAATAGCATTTAAAACAATAAAGATGTTGAAAAGGATATGTCTTCTCGTAAGTCTTTTTCGCGTTAATTAATATTCATTTGTGAGGCAAAAATATAGTATTTATCCATTAATTAAAATTCATTATGTAAAGACTTTAAATAATATTTTGAATTTATAAGGAATTATATATTACTTATATAATAATTGGCATGTGGTCAACATTGAATGAACTTCTTTTCCTGTGGGAACCGACTAAGAGAACTTAATGGTCGAAAGATGTGTATCAGCATCCCTTCTAAAATATGACCAAAGCCTAACTGCGGTTGCCAACCTGCTTGCCAAGTTTGAGAACCCCCTTATGGGAGAGGCCTATGTTCAGTAGACATTTATCGTCTGATATAATAATAAAAATAAAATATAAAAAAACATCAAGTACCAAATGTACGTAAACGCAATTACTTCAGAACGGTTGCACCTTTTTAACAAATTCATTTTAGTCCTGTATGTACTCGTAATTGCTAGGTCGTGTTTTGTATAAAAGAATATATTCGAAAAATCGTAAAGAAAAATGAAAAATATACACTCGTATGAAGCCGAAGCGGGTAGCTAATTTAAAATAATTATCAGTTGATATGTTTTTAGCTTTTGGGTAAATGTACAAAAAAAAAAATCGAGTATTTTTGCAAGACTTTTGCAAGATTATATTTATTTTATTATGTATAACGATTTGTCATTGACAGATCGCTTTTTTTTTAAAGTCGGATCAGTAGTACCGCAGATTACCCTCAACATCCATACTCGCAAATTTACCTCTTTATAATAATAGTATAAATAGCAGAAATGCGCCGCAGTTAAATATTAAAAGATTGTTATAATGATACCTAATTATGAATAGTCTTGTATCATTACCGTATCCTATTTACATCACTGATAACAACATTGGTTTTCTACGAAATAACGTTCTAAGAGAATACTCGTAAATAGAGCTTATATACCTATTTCACAAATGTATACTTCATACATGTATACTGAAATTTAAAACCTAAGGTATTTCACATGAATTACATCAAAGGAAATTTGTAAGTGGCAAATATGGTAATTATTCTATAATTTAAATCATGTGATAAGTGGGCAAGTTCACGCTAATTTGATTACGACTTTAAATTTACAAAATGCTAAAATAGATTGACAACAGAAAAGAAAGATGGAAAAAATTACTATAAAATTTTTGATTTAACTATTAATTCAATTTTAATGTAATGCAATATAATAAATAATATAAGAGAAAAATATGTGGTCGCATGGAAACCCATTATTATGAAAAATTATCATAGAATTTG